TTCAATTATAAAAAAAAAAGAAATATCGCTGTAAAGAATTAGCTACTATAATTAATAGCTTCGATTAATAGCTTCGGTTTTTATTTTATTCTCTTTTATTCTTTGAGCTTGATTGCTTAGCAACGGAGTATTCCTCTCTTGTCGATTACGCGATTAGAGTATTGTTAGGTTAAATTTCAAATTTCTCTATAGCCTCTTTTTGGGACGACGCCAAATATATAAACTTCCTAGCTCCCTAAGCTTTGATCCAATTTTTTCTAACTTTTGTCTACCCCCTTCCCTCCAATTTGGTGGTCAGGAATCCAAATATGTTAAAAAAATAAATGTTTATTCAAAAAAATTGCGTTTTTGCTTCAAAATTCACAACTTAATTAATAGTTAGCACTAAATAATATGCACAATTTAAGTCAACCCCAGAAACCATTAAGATTGACACTTGGTACGTGAAAATTCGAACGAAAGTTATTCAGTTATTCTTTATTTTTCTCGTACTGTACATTTTGTTAATAAGTTACTTTTAACGACATGAAACGATAACTGGCTTTTGAAACAATAAACTGCACTTGAAGAAAAGTTTATTTAAATATTGAATTACTGGCTGTGGTGGATCAGTGGATAGAGAACTCATCTCCCAATGAGGTGGTCCGGGTTCGAATACAGCGACGGCTGGTCGATACAAGTGTCCGACTCGTACCGACCACGTTACTGACATTCAATATCCTCAGTAGTGAACGGATCATGTGGTAGGGTTCTCTTGATGTAAGGCTAACCGTGGGAGATTTCCTCTCCATAGTTTTCAGTTAAGTTGTTCGTATTGCAAATGCGGGTTAGTTCAACGCCTCCTATAATAGAAAGCCTCCACACGGTTTTTTATGAGTAGTCCGATCAGACCACCATGAAGGATATCCACTTTCCGAAAGAGTCATTTAATACAAAGTCTAGTTAAAATAAGAAAGAGGTAGTAAATATATGACTAAATATTTGTTTTATTTATGAATATTATTGGTTTACCTTATTAACTTGTCAACCACTACAGATTCAATTCTCAAATATAAATTTCTCTCAATTACTTTTATAAAAGGTTTTGGGTTCATGCGCACAACTGGTTCACTTTTTAAATAGTCTGCGCGGACTACTTGTAAAAGACCGTGTGGAGGCTTTTTGTTGTAGGAGGTGATGGTTAGTTCCATCAAAAAGTCCTCCACGAAAACAAATTATTCCCACAACTTGATCCAGGCGTTTCCTTGTCTTCTGGATTGGGTTTAAAATTAAAAGGGTAACGGGGTTGAACATTTATAGCCGTAAGTTCAAAATGTGGTCGGGTCTTCAACAACGGTGAAAAAATTAAATTAAAAAAAATTTAAAAAAAACAACTGTAGTTTAGCTACCATATTTTTTCTACAAACCTTGATTATATGTACTTTGAAAGCTACCACGTAGCTCACAGCTGCTACATACATAGTCTGCTAATCTCAAAGAACTTATACGAAGATAAATAATACACGGTGAACAAGATAGCTCATAAGACAAGTTCAGTTCAGTTACTCGCTCCAGTAATTTTGCTTTTACATGCGGGCAACTTTTCCAAAAAAATGTATTACAATCGTTACAGATAATAATTTTAAGAAAGTGTAAGGCAAGATTTCATAAAATCTGGAGAAAACTTTTTCTCTATAGCTACAGAAAAATTTCGACGAGCGATTACAGAACAGATTACATAGATACTGAAACACGAATGGATAATTTCTTTAAAAAAAGAGCGAAAAAGAAGTAGTTTTACTACCACATTTTAAACTTTAGTATCGGTTGCAAACATTTTCAGAACGTATATTTACTTGACCCGCTAACAATATGTACCACGGTTATAAAATAAAATAAAAAAATGGAATACAAAATGTGCAACAGAATGGAAAGTAATGAATGAAAAGTGATTTTACTTGTTAACAACGTAACGATATTATACAGCAGTGTTATTTTGTCATTATAAACGAAAAAATTGATAATTTCAACTTAACTATTTTTAAAAGAATTTGGCTAAAAACCACATTGTAATGACTGAAAACAAAATAAAATAATTTGGAGTTATTTTAGGCTTAAAAAAAGCTTTTGATTAAAAAAATGAGGTCAAGGCACTTTTGTTTTTCTACTAAGAAATACTTTGAATTATATGGGATAAAAATTTAAAAAATTTTTTCGTGCACAAAAAATAGCAAACACGGTCTTGATTATTTTACATTAAAGAAAATATGACACTTTTGAAAATATGAATATGACTTACATTAAAGAAAATATGAAAAAAAGACACTTAACATAATTTGAAAAAAGTATTGAGGTCTTAACCTTTTTATGCATTAAAAAATTTTGATTTACTTTAGATAAAATAACTTATATTTCTTCAAAGCTAGAAACAAATTTAACAATCTTTATTTTTTTTATATTGAAAAATATAACATTTTATATTGTATCTAGAAAAAATTGGTGTCAAGAAACTTTCTTTTGGAGCCATAAAAATAAAGTACTTAAACTAAAAAATAAATAAATGAAACCTTTTTTAATGATCGAAAACACAAAAAAACATTTGTGATTCTTTTACATTAAAAAATATGTCATTAACAATTATGAGGAAAAAAATTAGAGACTTGTTTTTGAAAAATCTTGAAGTATTTTGTCTAAAAACCACTATTTATTTTTTCGAAAGCCATAAATAAGAAACATCTTTGAGTTTTATTTGTATTAAGAAATATAACATTAGACATTATGAAGCAAAAAAAAAAACATTTTACTATAAAAAAACAGAGTATTTCGGCCAAAAACCACATTGCTTTTTTTCTGATCAAAAATAAAGAACGCACACATGATTTTTTCAAATTGAAAAATATGGCACATTACAAGAAAAAATTAAAGCAAATAACCTTTTTTGTAAAAAAATCTTGAAGTATTTTTACTAAAAACCACATCTTATTTTTTTTTTAATACAAAAAGCAAAACACACCCTCTTGATTTTTTTTATGTTATGTGATGAAAGTTGCTATTTCCCTCTTAAAAAAATCTAGAAATTAGCCCAAAAAATTATTTAAAAGATTTTATATTAATATTTTCAGCATCAAGAATACTATCCGTACTATTAATGATGTTATGCCTTATCGCAGCATGTGAAAAGTTAAAATGAAATCGTTTAATGAAGTTAAAAAAGAGAGAAGCTGATTTTTTAAAATTCATTTGGTTGCAGTTTATTTTATAAGGGTGTCATATAATTTTGCCTCAGTAGTAGTACATATTTCAATTGCAGTTAAATGAAGTAAAAAAAAGAGGGAATCTGACTTTTTTTAAATTCATTTGGTTGCACTTTATTTTATAATGGTGTCGTAAAATTTTGCCTCAGTAGTAGTACATATTTAATGATTGTTTCCTTAGATAACAAAATATATCAATGTTGTACAGCAAAGGTAGTAGTTTAAATGTTGTTACAATAATGCAACAACAGATGCAATTAGCTTTAAAAATAAATAAATAAGAAACTGTCACTCTTCTAAAGAAACAAATTAAATGCGTTATTAAAACCTTTTTCCTATTTCCTTAACCTCCTATTCCTATAACCTATTATTTGCTTAACCTTTATCCTATTTGCTTTGATCACTTATTGAAAATCTTATTTATTGAAAAACTTAATACTAAATTTAATGACAAAACTAGCTACTTGTCAGAATATACAATCTCAATTTATAGATAAACAGTCGAGAATTACTTGGCTGTATATATATATATATATATGTAACCAGATATTATATATATAAATAAAACGAGACACCGTTTTAAATAACTTTATCTTAAAATGTAACGTAGAATTACATTGTTCTAAATATAATAATAATAATAAAAACAATCCTTCTAAGCTTTTATATTAGAAATCAAACAAAATCAAAAACGTAATAATAACAATAAATGTAATCTTAACGTACAAATTAGGGGAAAAAAATATTTGTAGGAAAATAATAACTTTAT